GGTACAGGTGAATTGGGTAGGCTAAATTGTCCGTAGTGTGTGTGTGTGTGTGTGTGTGTGTGTGTGTGTGTGTGTGTGTGTGTGTGTGTGTGTGTGTGTGTGTGTGTGTGTGTGTGTGTGTGTGTTTCCCAGAGATGGGTTGCGGCTGGAAGGGCATCCGATGCGTAAAAATGTGCTGGATAAGTTGGTGGTTCATTCCGCTGTGGCGACCCCGGATTAATAAAGAGACTAAGCCGACAAGAAAATGAAAGAATGAATGAATGATTAGAAGTCTATATAATCACCTCGCAATTTTCAAATTATAGCTTTTTTGCTTTGGGTATAGACTATTCAGTTCAATGAGACCAGTTCAATCATTTTTGAAGTTTTTAAAAATAAAATTAGTTTTTCACTGTATAAAAATATAAGGTTTTGAAATATTTACCCATATATATATATATATATATATATATATATACATATATATATATATATATATATATATATATATATATATATATATATATATATATATATATATATATAAAGGCTATCGGCCTCCAAATCTGAAGAGTTATCGGTTATCGATATCGGCCAAAAAAATCCATATCGGTGCATCCCTAGTATTTATAATATATACAAAATACATATGCACAGCGCACACATGTATTATGTAAAAAAATTAATAAAATTATTTTGTATGCGATTGGGTATATTCAACTTTGTTCCACAGTCAAGTTTGGTTTTTGGCTCTTTATAAGAAAAAGTTTGGGTACCCCTGATCTAAAGGGTGAATGCTGCCAACAGATGATCAAGAGTATAAATTAGACGTTTTACCTCTTCCCAAGGCAAAACCAGCAACAGTCAAGAACGCATGATTATATGCTGTCATGCCTTTGCAATTAAAAAATGTCATTATAATGGAAGTCAATGGGGCAAAAACAGCACCAACATAACCAAAGGGGAGTCAGTGTGAACATTCCGCAAGAGTTAAATGTGTTTGTGAAATGGAGGAAATGTGCAGCTCCTCTGATGGGCCTGAAACGTCTGTGTTTATGTCGAGTCACGTATCCTCAGCACTGAAGTCAGACTCGCCCTGCAGATAGAGGCTTATCGGTGGCCGAGTGTCCCGTGAGTGTGGGATATCAAACACCCAGCAGCGCCACACGTCTCTCTGCATGTCTGCTAAGTTTTCTGGCTGTCAGACGTAACTCCGGGAACATGCAAGATGATTACTGACAAGTCATATATTTTTCATAGGTGCGTTTCATTTAAATATTAAAAAAGAATTGGTGCTGGGCAAAGATTAATCATAGTTAGTCACATCAATCTATCTATCTCATCTATCAATCTATCTGTCTGTCTGTCCGTCTGTCTGTCTGTCTGTCCGTTAGGGGTGTAACGATACACTCAGCTCACGATACGATGTGTATCACGATATAATGTTCACGATTCGATATGTATCACGATATTTGGAATAGAAATTGAAAATTAAACTGAAATGCAAATTTTACCAAGTAAACTATTTTTATGTATTTCTTTTGTTTCAACTTGTTAAACTGAACCTTGTTTAAGAAAATAAATTAAACAGGCCTGTCTCTGGAAAATAAAACAACTTAAAAACTTCTTAAAAATATTATTGAAATGACAGAGACAAAATTAAGGAACAATTTAAGTAAAGGTGCAAAAAAAAAAAGCTTTCTATTCAATTGAATTTAACAGTAAGAGCTTAAGGCTTTGCTTGGTCACGTGCGTTTTTTGTGTGTGCAAAAAAAAAATCCACATTTCCAGGTATTTAATTCATATTTAATTAAATTCATTTAGAGATATCTCTAATTACAATTGTGACTGGTCAAAACTCATTTAGAGATATCTGCAAATATTTTTCAATGGAAGTCAATGGAGGAATATGACTAGTCATAATATATTTGCAGATATCTCCAATCTGATTTCGTACTAGTACACTTGTAATTGCAGATATCTCTAATTGTTATTCTAACTAGTCGAATTATAATTATGACTAGTCAAAATATAATTAGAGATGTCTCTAAATATATTTATGGATAGTCAGATCAAAGGTTTAAATGCTAAAACGGCTTGCCATACGCGCGCGTCTATCAGTCCGCCCTCTGTAGTAACAGCTCACGGTCAGCTCACGTCATGTTTGATTTTGCGGCGGGAACATTATATGAAGACAGAATGATATTTAGGGTGAATTGTACCTTATAAATACAGTATGCGACTCTCTCAACACCATTAGGAGGTATCCCTGTCGCTGTGCAAAGTATGAAAATCACTGTGAAGACTTTAAAACTTAGGATGTTTGACACAGTATGCGTGTCAAAAGCGGACGAGTCTAAAGCAATGACTGTACAACCGAAAAATTGCCAGACGTCTGATTTTGAGAGCATGGGCCATCCTCTATTTCAGCTCCACTCATCTTGGTCTGCTAACATTACTGCTGCTGCAATCTGAACTCACGTGCGACAGCAGGTGGAATGTAGCTCACGTGCAAACAGCTCAACTAATAAGAGAAAACGGACGTCATATCGTAATCAAATCGTCATAACGCCACGATGCATATCGAGACATTTTTGCATCGCAATAAATCGTACAACGATAAATCGTTACACCCCTACGCCGTCCGTCCGTCTGTCTGTCCGTCTGTCTATAGTATCCATCCATCCACACAAAATAAATGTAAGTGTTTATTTCGGACTGCACTAATGTTGTTCATCACGCTGTCATGAAATCAACAGATCCTGGAAACTTGAGTCAGTGAGCTGCGTTTCTTCTCCTCTGATAATGCACAGAGCCATTTATCAGCAGAGGGTCTCTGTCTGACCAGCTTTTAAATACTGAGAGATGTTGTGACTGATGCTCTTTTATTACTGTAAGGACACACATCTGGCTCCCATCAGCTGAGGAGGAGCTGTGTATGTTTAGAGAATCGCGAGGTCACTCTTATTTTCGGTCTGTCCTGAAGGAATCGATCACATGACCTTCACCGTTCTTCTTTCTTAGTGTTGGTTGTGTTTGGCAGGGTTTTTCTTATTAGGATCAGAAGTTTCTTAATGTCACTTTTGCTGATGCTTGTGTTAGGATCTAGATCAGAAATGCCCAAACTAGGGCTCACTGGCCAAAGTTGGCGCATGGTAACATTTGATTTGGCGAGGAAGGGAGGAGGAATGATGGGGATGGTTTAGAGATCGTAATTTCAAATCTATTATAACCTTTTGTTTGTTTTATTGATAAAGGCTGACTGAAATTAAATGTTTCAATAAAGTATTCTAAATTTAGCTTAAATGTCGATACTCTTATAGATAGAGTGTCTGTCCTATACTCTCCTATAGATAGAGGACAGTGCAGAGAGCTTGGTCCAACTAGAAGTCAACTTAGTACAGGACTCGAAATTGCGACCATTTTGGTCGCATATGCGCCCGGAAATTAATCTATGTGACCTCATAATATATATGGGAGCATTAGTGCGACTGCAGATAATGGTTGTAGTGCGACCTGTTTTGATTTTTTCTAAAAACGTGCTGAATCGCTCTTCCCTGCCGCTAAATTGGTTCATATTAGCTGTCAATCACTCAAGGTATTCCGCTGTCAGATGACAGGGAAGGAGCTTTTATGACCACGGGAAATGCGAACGGCTGAAGAGTGAAAACTTAAAGCACACAGGTTTGCAAACCCCACCTAAAGTTGAGGCGCAGATGAAAGCGATCATGACACGTCACGTGGTGAATAATGATCCGCTAGCTGAGATCAATCGAGTACGCGCTTCTTGGAGAAGGTGCCCGAATCTCCATGCGTTGCATTCACTGCGTGTTCAGCGCAAATGTCCGCTAAAAGTCAAATTTAATACTGTACATATCATCGCCGAAGAAGCTCGCCTTTACTAAGTTTACACTGAAACTGCGGCTCGTAACAAAGACCGGTGTTGCGCCGATGGTTAGCGCAAGAATGCTGCTCATAAATTGGGTCGGCTGACTCGCCTGCTTTCCACTAACACATAAACATGAAGATAATTTCAGACTGAACCTTTAAATTGACACAAACTGAAACCAAAACTTTTCAAGAGTGATAGAAGTGAGACTTTACTTACTTTCTTTTGTCTATTCTTTTTTGAGGTGTATATTATTTTTTTATTTATTTACTGATGACTGCTTTGCAGCTTTCATCATTGAATTGAATGATTTATTATAATCTTTTGTTTGTTTTGTAGCAGAAATATTATTTATTAAATTGACAGGCATATAAAAACAATAGTGCAAAATAAATATTTCTTTCTGCAATGCTTCATTTTTGTTTGATGCAAACTATTCAATTATTTTTCATAAAGTAACAGACTTTTTATAGCAGATAACCTACATCCATGCACATTCAAGGCAGTATCATAATGAGAAATGTAATTCACTGTTACTATCATTGTCATTTTCATCATCATTAATATTCTATAATTATTAGACATTCATTTTGGAATTATTGCACACAAATATCAATGTCTTCGCAGCATTAGTTAGATAGTTGTTTCTGGTTTTTGTCAGTCCTATTAATGTTGTTTTAAAATACAATAAATCCCTCAAAAAACAATTTGCAGCGGTGCTCATTCATTTTTGGTGGGTGCTCCTAAATTTTTTCTGGTGCTCCTAAATTTTTTCTGGTGCTCCTAAAATTTTTTTGGTGCTCCTAAATATTTGAAGTTGGGAGCACCGGTGCTACCAAGTAAAAAAGTTAATTTCGAGCCCTGTATTAGGTGTTGTTCGTAAAACTTGGGTGATAAGACTTTTGTCAGGTAGTGTATATTGTGTTCAATGAGGAAAAAAGCTGTTGTTTTTACCAAGACATTTAGAAGGAACTTATTTCAGAGCAGTAATTACAATACCGTGATACTTATCATGCCATCAGAATCGTATACTGACCCATGCTTACCATAGTCTGACCAAAAAAGTTCAAAGAGGATTATCTGACGTTCCTGTTGTGTGTGTGTGTGTGTGTGTGTGTGTGTGTGTGTGCAGGTGAAGGGGTTCGGTGTGATGTCGGATCGGCTATGAGCTTCTCTACAACTGTCCTGCACTGGAATGGACCGTGGCAAAGATGTGTGTTGCCATGGTAATTATTCACACTAAAACACTGGAAAAGAAGGCGGTTGACGATGTAACATCCGAAGCGTCTCTGCAGCCGGTAAGAAACGCCACATTAGATGTCTAGATAGATGTCAAGCCTCATGTATAATTCAGCTGCAGTAATGATCACTGGTGCCCTCGAGAGGTTTTCAGCTGCTTATAGTGACACAGCAGAGTTTGGCTCCTGTTCCATGTAGAGAAACTTAAAGGAATAGTTTAAAAAATTGTTTAAAAAATGAATTTAAACTCTCCTTTAAGTGATTTCAAGGAGTTTCTTTGTGTGATTTTTGGCACCTCCGTGAAGTTGGCCCCCACCCAACACACAACACCGGCAAATTAGTCTCATTCAGTTGTGCTGGAAAAATATTAGTTTGTGCTGTTTTGGTTTTTAAGATATTCAAATAATATTTGTAGGTCATTCAGCAGTCACACAGCTAATATCATATATAAATTAAGGGTGTCACGATCCTCCAAATCCTCGATTCGATTACATTTCCGATTCTAAAGGCACGATTCGATTCGATTTTCGATTATGAATAATTAATTAACTAATGACCAATTAATTATTTGTAGCCTACCGTTTAAACTACCTGACCTGCATGGTCTTTGTTTTACCCATAAACAAATCATACAGTAAATGAATAAAGGTAAGACACACACATAATTACCACCTGTCAATCACATTTTCTGCGGGACTCGTGAATAGGCAGTGATCTGTGTCGTTATAATGGCGTCGGTAAAAAAGACGCACAACCAACAGGAACCAGCCAACAGCATCTGAGGTGTTCACTAAAATGACTAAGTACAAGTGAGTGAAAGATTGAAGCAGTCCTCTGACTGCCTGGACCTGCTGTCTCGAGCGCATGGCTGTGTGTGCGTCTGCGTCTGTGTGGTCACATGATGTGCATTTTCAGAGGTAGAGAGGAAGGAGGGCTGCTCAAAAATGCTACACGCCACTGTGGATGTCAAATCGTTGTTGTTCTAAAATGCCATTTAAAAACAAAGACAGTGTAAACAGGGCCTGAGTGTGTACTTTTCGCGAGCGGATTTGCAACGGGGGCGGGAGGAGGATCGCGATGCCGGTGTTGTCTATCGGACGAACCGTACGTAATACGTACATAGCAGAGCTTGCAAAACTGTGTTTTTTTTGTCGACAACATGAACGTTGTCAACATAACTCACTGGAAATCCAAAATGCTTCCACACCGGCGACTTCATTGAAAGAGGAGAGGGTTTAAGCTCTGTCGACGGGTCTCCTGCTTCTGCAGTTTAACAAGCACTTCAACAAGCCTGTTTTTTTCCCGCTTGGCAAGCCAAGCTGACGTGACATGGGGGCGTGGCAGCATCGACGATTCTATTTTTTGATTCAATAATCGAAATTGAGCATAAATTTCGATCAATTTCGATTAAAACTCGAAATCGTGACACCTCTAATATAAATCATAAAAAATAAATAAATAATGAGGCGATTTACTAAGAAAATAAATTTAACATTTATTATTCATTAGGAAATGAAAAAAAATCCTACTTTAATAATAATATTAATAATATTAATGATAAGGATTATTATTATTAAGTAGGATATTGTTCATTTATATTGTATTTTTTAAAACATGCAAACCACTGTAGAAATGTTTTGATCAGCAGGTCCATGTCACATACAGTACAGATACTTAATAAATAATCCACTATATATTAAAAGCATTAAAGTATGCTGTGTCCCACTGTTAAATAATAGGTCACCTATAGCTTTTGCCATGAGGTAATCTTAAAAATGACATCAATGCATTCAAAGTGCACTGCGAAGGGAGCACAATTGTAGACATGAAGATCGCTAAAACTGAACTGTAAAATAGTTTGAAAGCAAATCACACCTAAGAGAGATGACCTTCAATGTTTTTTTTATTTTTAGTCATTTCAAGTTTAAATGTTAGAATGTTCTAAATTAATAGGGGGGATAAGTGGGAATAGAACACAGCCAGGAACTATGTTTCTAACTACAGTTCCAGAGGTGTAGTAGGAAGTGCACAAGTTTGCGACGCAGATTGCGAATGTTCGTTGGAACGATGGATTTGGGAAACGGCAAATCAACGAATTATACTTGTAAAGACACAACTTGCGACCTTAGTTGGCTCACGATGGTTTTGGGAAATGCACCCCTGACTGGGACAGTAACCATCCTGTATACTGCTCGAGCACAGGGCCCGAAATTGCGACCATTTTGATCACATATGCACCCGAATTTTCATCTATGCGACCTCAAATATTTGGGAGCATGTGTGCGAGTGCATAAAATTGTTGTGTGCGACCAGTTTTCACTGCAAAATGTTCACCACATGCGTGGATTTGGGAGACATTCACGCAGAATGCATCTCTGCACTTGAAACGCGAAACGCAGCGCTCAGGAATGGTTTAAAACAGTCGTCATGTCAACTTGCTGCAGAAAACAAAGCCAGCAATGCTTGCCCCGCCTTCGCGCTCTTCTTATTGGCCCACCACTGCTCTAGCACTGAAATATCAGCTGTCAATCACTCAGTCAATGCCTTCTGGCTTGGGATGACAGAGAGAGCTACTACCGCGAAAAACTGTAAAGCGCTGAAGATAAGAATGAAGATAACGCCTGTTTCACACTGCAAGCGTCAGCGGCGCGTGAGCAGAGCGTGAGCAGCATGTGTGTTTTCGGCGTCAGAGCGAGGCGTGAGCGTCGCCGAAGCAGCAGTGCAGCGATAGTTTCGGCGCTGGGTCTATTTTTGACGCGCTGCTCACGCTCAATTAAAGTGACAGTGCATTGATAATGACCAAAACACAATGAATGACAGTAAAAAGTAGCAATTTTACCCAATAAATACGTTGATAACGTCAAATGGTATACATATAGTCATTCAAATGAACTTAAAACGATTAAAAACGGCAACATTTATTTAGGCCCGAACTACAAAACCAAATGTAAAACAATTTTAGTATCAGTTTTGCTTAAGTTGCACACTAGTGTTGTAGGAGAGGGGAAATAGAATATTTACGGGATTTGTAGTCCATAGCGAAGTGTATTGTGGGTAGTGTTCGACACGCATACTGGATTATGTGAGCTCGCTGTGTGCTGTGCAGCTGAGCAGAGGAAGAAAGTTTTAATCTGCTTTGTTTTATTTTCACTCGAGTTATTCCTACCGGGAGCTGTTTGCACTGTGAATCTGACAACACGAAAATAAGTAAAATAATGGCATGCATTGGTAACTTTTGTCCGTTTCATCATCTGCACGAGCATGAATTAACGAGCTGTTATTCTGCCGCTGGACAGATGAAAAGTTTAAAAGGTGTATTTGTATATAGAGAGACATGGGTAACTAGATAGAATAGACAGAGATAGGTTGATCTCTGCAGCAGCTGCCGAAGAACTGCGCGCTGCAGACGCAGCTGGTGTGAAAGGCAAACGCCTGCGTGCTGCTACTGCTCGACATACGCGCTGCTCACGCTCTGCTCACGCGCCGCTGACGCTTGCGGTGTGAAACAGGCGTAACACTGACAGATTTTGTTTTAGAAACCACCTAAAGTTACAAATAATGACACATCTTACTAGTGACCATGTGCTGAATGTCTACACTTTTCCAAGAGTGGATAAAAGACTTTCCTTGGCTTCAAGTCCGCTTTGAAATGTCTGTGGGATGGAAATTTCAGGTAACTGTTTGCCACATCTAGCACGAGAGCTTCTGTTTAATCCTTCATATAATCGCCAGATGCTGTCCGCCGTGCAAGGGGCAGCTATATGTCAAATTTAACACCACGTACACCACCGCAAACAGGCTTGCACTGACTAAACTAATATTGCTACTTATGAAGACCGGTATTGATATTAACATGACGTATGCATATAATAGGGTACAGTACATGTCAAAAGCATCAGTGCAATATCAGACAGCACCCGTGAGAACAGCACAGTTATACCGTTAACAGATTCATTCATGTCAAGCATTGTGTGCAGGGCCGGTGAGCGCTCCGTGTATGCTTTGGTCACTCAGTTCTGTTATCAAATCTATTTTCTTGTGATAATGGGATTTTGTTAAGACATATTTGCCTCACGCATGCACATATATATTTTTGCTTGTTAGTTTGATTAGGGTTGATTTCAAATGCAATAAATCTGTTTGTATAAAACTTGTAGTAACGGTGCTTATAATTGGTGGGTGCGAATAAATTTTGGCTGATGCGCCTAAATTTATTATGTTAAGAGCACCAGTGCTACCCAGCAAAAAGGTACATTTCGAGCCCTGCTGTTCTGAATGCAGAATTGATTTCTCAAACCATTAGTTTTGTCACGGCTCTAGTCAGTAAGCAGGCGTAGAGGTGTCTATCTAGTCTATCTGAACTCTGATCTGTGTGTGTTTCTACAGCAGGAGCCGCTGACCATGAGCCAGGGGACAGCTCTGTTCTCCTGTGGAATCATGGGTAAGTGCAGATATTCATAACCATGTGCTGATTCCTCTTTCTGTTCTGCATTTGCCCTTCACTGATTGGATCAGTTGATATCCTCCTCACCTGCAGGAACCAGCAGAAACAGAAAGTCCTCAACATCTGTTCATTTGTGTTTGCGTCTTACGCCTGATACCCACGAGGCCTAGTTTTAGATGCCACAGGTGCATGTGAATGTCAGCCAGTGTCATGAGTGAGCAAATGTCTGTGTGCCTCCATTGTTCTGCTGTTTTTATCTCGCAGAAAACAGAGGTAGTAAAATAATGGAGCCTTTGGTCTTTGAGTGGAATAAACAGGTTGCAGCCGAAAACAGATCAATAGTGTTTTGTGCTGCTGTTAGGTTGGCACCAGATCGTCTGCGATGGCACATAACCCCTTGCCCACAGCGCTGAATTCTTGGTAGGCGGTCTATTGTGCTGCGGCGTGTCCACGGCCAATGCTTTTCGGTTGTGACTTGGAAAAAATCCCCCTCCGCATCCAGGCGCACTTCAGCTCTGACACACCTGAGCGTCAGCCACTAGCTATGTTGTCATCTGCCTGTTTTTATCAGGGTGTATGATGTGTCTTAAAAAGGATTAAAGGTTAATAAATCAATTTAGAGAAATTTAAGGCCCTTAAAGGGTACTTAAATGTCATTTTGGGCGACACAGTGGATTAGTGGTTAGCACTGTGGCCTCACAGCAAGAAGATCGCTGGTTCGAGTCCCCAGTTTGCATGTTCTCCCAGTGTTGGCGTAGGTTTCCTCCGGATGCTCTAGTTTCCCCCACAGTCCAAACACATGCACTATTGGGGAATTGATTAACTAAATTGGCCGTAGTGTATGAGTTGCGTTAACGCGAGACTTCTATCGCGCAATAAAAAAAATATTGACGTTAATCTATTCTCAAAGTTGGGTTGGGAGCTGGGTCTATTCTACGCAAGCTATCATGACTTTCATCTTGATATTTTAGCGCGGATGTATACAGGGACATCTGTAGTCTAGTTATTTGCCTTAATAGACAATAATATAATTGAGGTGTTTACGTGAAGTGCGTTCATGTAAGAGTTTCCTGTCATTTTGGGTGACTTTAACTGCAGTTTGGCACTTTTAAATACACTGATGAACATTTCATTCATGCCAGTGTCCAGCGAGCTGACAGGACATGACGAGGCCACTCGCTGCATTGAAACCGCTGCCATGGAAAATGAAATGAATGTTCTTGACTGCTTTAAGATGAACAAACAATCCTACCCAAAACATGCTAAATTAGCCAGATCAGTAGTGCATCCTGGGCAGCAGCAGCAGCAGAGAAAGGGTGTTCAGTGCTGCTCAGTGAGAGCAGGACTGCACTAAAGCCATTTACAGTGGATTCAATAATGTTCCCCCACAAAACACATAACCTAATCTTGATGAGTAAAGAATTTCAAATTATAACTAAATATTAATAAAATCATAATGTAGTCAGAGTATACAGGCTAATGCTGGCATTATTCTTTTATTATTCAGCTTCACCATCGCCTTATTGTGAAGTAGTGTTAAGTGGCAAAACAAATCCCACTGAGCCTTTATCTTAATTTCGTTATTCCCAAATACCCGTCATCATTTATCATTTATTTTAATTCATTTGCTAAGAAATAATTATTTTTATTGGTGCGTTGGTCAATTTAAGCGTTAAGTGTATGTACCCAGGCCTATTTAGAGTGTTGAGATGTTAAGATGTTACAGAGGGCTTATTTTATTTTTTTTGTTCCAACTTGGCCTGTAGCCTATGTTATGCATAAGTAATGTTAACGCATATAAACGACTCATTCATGAAAAAAGACAAAAGAGCTGTGCATGTGCACATTTGGATAATGTTGGGCCATAAACAGCTTCGGGCTTTTAAAAAGCTGTCAACAAAAATGTACCTGTCGTGTTCGGGCACTATCGGGCCTACCTTTCATAGCCTGATTACAGCTCTAGTTCAGACGCCCCCTCACAGTCAGCTATAACAGTTTCATTTCACCACCAGACACCCAAAAGGCAGGTACTGTGGGTTATCCATACTGTGACGAGGCACAATTTATTTAAATCTAACAAAAGCATTAAAATGAGTAGCCTATTCCAAAGAAATTATATAATTTTTGGGTCTTAAATTAAATTTGTTGAGGTCTTAAAAAGGTCTTAAAAAACATTAAATTTAACTTTTAAAATGGTGCAAGAACCCTGAATTTGGAAATATTTGAAAACAAATTTAAATAAATGTTAATGTTAATATCCTTTCAGTTCTTTTTTCAACTAACACTGCAGTTTTAGCAGTAAGAAGCTACAATACAGATTATTAAGCTAAAGATTGAATACAAAATTAAATCGCAAATCAAATCGAAATCACAATATCTGTAAAAAAAAAAAAAATCTCAATTAGATATTTTCCCAAAATCGCACAGCCCTAGTTTGGACTGTGGGGGAAACCGGAGCACCCGGAGGAAACCCACGCCAACACGGGGAGAACATGCAAACTCCACACAGATATGCCAACTGACCCAGCTGGGGCTCAAACCAGCAATCTTCTTGCTGTGAGGCCACAGTGCTAATCACCGAGCCACTACGCTAACCATCCAACTTTTAATGCTTTCAAAAAATACTACTACTGTACTGACTATATACGCAACTATCTATATAGAAGTATTAATTTATATATAAATTGTTAATTTACAAGAGAGCTCTGTAAGGGCTGTGCTCATTTATGCTGGCCACTGGAGCTATTTGTGAATGTTTGCAAATTTGTAAAAGTTCTAAGAATAGATTCAGATCTGCTCAAACGAGTCGTCAGGAAACCCAGTTTCATTCCTGTAACTGATCTGAACACACAAACCTTTCACTTACATTTATGAAATGCCTTTTAAATAGCAGAATAGCACTTTCAATTCCTCTCTGTTATTTCTCAAGCTGTATAGGTCTTCCTTTTAACATATTTCTAGATTTATTTTTAGCATTGTGGGAAAAGTAGAGCCATTAAAACAGCTTGTTGGTGAAAAGTATTGAGAGATTGCAGTACTTCATGTTTCTCACATCTCTGTTTCCCCCACTGACGTTTCACATTATTCAGAGAAACTCGAACATGAAGTATGCGGACAGTAGCTGGTCAGCGGTGTCGTGCGGTGTGTGTTGGTGATCCGTGTCAGGAGGAGTAACCCAAACACACACTCCACACACAGATGTTCATTCGTCTGGCCTCCTGCCACCGATCAGACGCTCTATTTCTGGCCTCTTTGTTTCTCAGGCACAGCTGTGTTGTTTGTGAGCGTCTACAGCCTCTTCCTGTGAACTCGGCCCTTTTGTTCAGCCTAAAGAGAAGCGTCTCGGACTGGAGGCTGGTGCATTTTTTTGTGGGGTCAGATCTGAGTTTTCTGCTGTGGTTTTGATCCTGGTTCATAGGAAGCTGTAAATCATGTGATACGTGCTCGTTCAGACACATGAGCCTCGTCCATATGAGCTGCAGGACTCTAGATTTAGAAATGTTCTGGATGGTGTTTTCGTGGTTTTTCTACATTTAGGGGACCACTGTGAGTTGGCTTAGACCAACAAAAGCTTGCTTTAATGATTTAAAATAAACAAATTCTGATTTCTCAGCTAAAGCGATTGTTCAAATAACCACAAGTTGCTCTGTGCCATTCACTATAATTGCATCATTTGTGTCAATAGTGCTGCAGGATGACCAATTACGTCTTATTGCATTGACTTAAAGGGCAAAAAAAAATCTACTTTTCAAGCTGTTTGGACAAATGTGTGTATATTAGGGTTGGGCATCTAAGCTATAATGCCGATCCGATACGCATCTCGATACAAAGAATACGATCCGATATATTATCGATACATTTGTGAGATATTGCGATGCAACACGATACGATTCACACCAATATCACGATACAATGCGATAATTCAGCACTAACTAATTAGATCAAGTTTATGAGATTATGTGAAAGAGGATGCTGTGCCATTGAATTTGATTTTGAGACTTTTTTTACAAACTGGCTTTTCTCTCAGAGCCAGAGTGTCAGTTTACAGTAGAGGGCCATTTTAGAACATATAGCACATATTATTTAAGTATTTTCAAGATAAACAGAATGTATAAGTGCAATATATATATAAAAAAAAAATATATATATATATATATATATATATATATATATATATATATATATATATATATATATATATATATATATATATATATATTAGGGTTGTAACGGTATGAATTTTTTACGGTATGATAATCGTCTAAAACTACCACGGTTTGACGGTTTCGCGGTATACAATATGTTACAAATGTTACAAAATAGTAGAACAGTGAAGCAAATTTGACTTTTTCCAAATAATATATTTTCAGTTACTATAAACAACACCACTTACAATGAACAAATAAAAAAATAAGAAAATAATAAATAATGTGTCAAAGTCCAAATAAAGTCCAAATAAACATGGTGCAAATCCTCAGTAAAAAAATAGATATAAATATTTACTATACTATAAATAGTTACATAACGAAACTAGATTCAATATGGAACATCCTTAGGTTTTATGTGCCAGCATGGATATGGTTGTCTGTGGATATGGATTTGGATATGGTTGTCTGCAATGCAGACAAACAGCTGCATCTTCATTTGCGTCTTTTGAAAACAGCAAGAGCAGCAGTTCGTCTTTGCTGTGTCACTGTTTTGTCATGTTTCTGTGCTGCTGTGCATGCAAAAGTACTTAGTATGAGAATTATTTCATGCAAAACTTTTTTTTTTGCGTTTTATTTAGCCGCGCAGAAATGTATGTATTAATGTATGTATGTAATGTATGTATGTATGTATTGTAGAAATGTAGAAATGTATCTCTCATTCCGTGTTGTTCAAAAAGTTCATGTTGGTCCACAAACAAAAGCGAAACCTATGCTTATTGGTTGTGATATAGCGAGTTTGAACCAATCTGGGCATGGAGGAGGGACAATGCATCAATGTATCATGTCTGG